ATGTTCTTGAATTCAATACTTTCAATTTTGAAACCTCAGGAATTTAAGTAATTTAAATTATTGAAATAAAATTACAAATAATAATTTTAAGCATTCCAATTTATTTACGATATACTTTTATTAAAGGTATATATATATATATATATGTATATATTTCGTTGGTTAGGAAATGAAATTTAAATTTTTTTTTGTCTTTTTGGCTACGGTTTATTTGTGATTGAAGTTGTAGAGAATGAAAATGAGTTGAGTTGAGGAATGAGCGAATGCAGTAATAAATGTATGATAATGAATACACTCAAAAGAATCACTTTTGAGATTCCTAAAAAAAAAATAATAATAATAATTCAAGTAATTTTTTGATAATGAGGCAAATGAATTTTATCTTATTTCTCTTATATTATACAGCCATACAAGAACTTTGGAATATAATATTAAAAGCAAAAATTTTTTATTCGAATTTTTAAATTTAAAATTTTGACTATTCTTCTATTATACGTGGCACATTTTCAGACTTTTGAAAAACTTATTAAAAAACGTATTGAAAAACATAAACCCCTCATTTTTTTCGACTTAAATAGTCTTTTTAAAGAGCGAATTTCGTACAAATTTGCTTGGGTATTAAAAGATGTTTGATAAAGGTTTGGTATTTATCTTATTTGGTATAAATTCTTGGGGGGAAAAAGCTATATAATATGAACTTAAATCCTGAAAAACCAATTCCTCCGTGAGGCGGTTTTTTACTTTATGTGACTTTTAGATATATTTCTGGTCTTAATACACGGTTAGAGTTAAAAGATACCTTTTGTTCTAATCTACGATCCAACTAACGCAGTTTTGACGTCATCAGTTTCAGGCGAGTGATTTTTCGCACGTGCTGGGAAACCAAGTCCTCTCAATCTGAAATAAAAAGGAGCCGAATAGCGGACCTCGAATATGAAAAAAAAATAAAGAAAGAAAGAAAGAAACAATAAATAAATAAATGAAAAACGGTCGTTTGAATGTAAAGTAAAAATAAAGAAAATAGTGTTGGCATCATCTCAGCCGGAACAGCACGCGATTGTCGAATAAAAGAGAAACTTTAAATCGCTTCTTTCTTAACCATCAACCTTTCAAATGATGACCAAGTTCGCAAAAATACAAGAAAAAAGGGGGCCGCGGCCCCACCCCGATGCGGGTGTCTTTATATCCACCCCTTACCAAGATTCATAAGTAATTTTTTCTTACTGAACCATTTACGATGTCCTAAAGGTTTCGAATATGTTCAACAATAGTTCATAATACTCATTTTCGGACAATGAGCTTTTTTTCATTTTTTTATTCTCTTGTTCTGATCGTGTGTGGATTCATTTTATAATCTGTTGCGGTTATGAGTTACACAAATGTGAGTTTGAGTTAACAATTTATTTTGTATCATTCTTTGCTTCAACAATTTTACGTCCTTTTCTTTTTCTTATTGAAGAATTGTTTTTTGCTGTTGCTATTATTATTTTGCTTAAACTTGAACTTTATGTTTTAAGATATGTTCAAGGTCTTTTATTTTTAAAAAAAGATTTTAGTGTCCAAAAGCGAAGTAAGAGGATTTTTAATCTTTTCCGGAATTATTTTGACATTGCTACTTTTTTTTTATTTGTATGTTTGAAATATATTATTTACACAAGAGAATATATGTTTGAAATAGATATTCTTTTACACGCCGTTTCGAAATATACATTTTTTACATGTTTCGTACTTATAATACTAACGTATATTTTGGATACATATTACTAAAGAAAATTGTAAATATCGAACTAAAATAAATTTAAGCATTTGAAAAATATTGAATAAGAAACATTTTTTAACAATTTATTCTCCTACTTGTATTTGTTATTTTTTATTTATTTATTTATTTTTAAAATTATTTATTATTATTATTATTTTTTTTTTGTAATTAAAGTTTTCGCTTTAAGAAATGTTCAAGATTAGGATTTTTAGAACTTTAAAGGTTAGTAGTCTCAGAGAATGATGAGGATTTTTCTATAAATATAGAATATACGAAATTTTTTTTTAATAATTCTTACTTCTACTTGCTTTTTTATTTTTTATTTATTTAATTTTTTTTAAATTTTTTGTTTATTTATCTTTATCTTTTATATCATTTATTTATTTACTTTCTTGCTTATAAATGAAGTTTTCGCTAAAAGATATGTTCAAGATGTAGACTTTGAACAAACTTTAAAGGTTAGTGGTCTCAAAGGTAAATAAAAAGAATTTTTTTCCTTCAATATGATATTATTTTTTCTCCCAATATAATTTGAAATTATTTTTAAAATCTGTTATTTGTTCAAAACTTGTTGAAGAAATAACATAAAACTACAATTTGTTAATATGAATTAATTTACAGATTTGTAAAATAAAAGAACTCTAAACTGAAATAAAACATACATTATAAATAAAATTTCAGATATTTTATTGTCACAGTTGAGTTTCGACTTTTTTAGAAATAACCAGTTCTTCTTAATGAGTTTCAAATAGCGTTTCAAATAGTCAAACTCTTTTAAAAATTACTTTGAGGACATTAATTTTATTAAAAAGATAGCTTATAAAGAAATGATTTTGTTTAATATAGGAAAAAGCTTTTTGAAAAAGTTTTAATAGCAAGTATTGTCATAGCCTCTTTGAATTTTAGATTAATAAACATATGTTTTTTTTTACATAACAGACCAAAGTAAAGAAATAACTGAATTTTTTTAAAAATTGCATAACTCTTAAAAAATGCATTTGTTTGCTTAAACTTATGTCTGCATGAAATTTGATTCAGGACATATTTCTTCTAGCGAAATTGTGCTCCATTTCTTTTGAAATGCTATTTATAATATTTTTTGCTGAACTCAGAAATCATGATTCTATATAAAATAAGTAATTGAGAGTAAATCAGACAGTATTAAAATTATAACTTAATAAATTCAATTTTTCTTAAAAATTCATTTAGATTATATTTAATTTAATTGACATTTAGATAATATTCATTTAATAATTTAATTTTAACTATATATATTCATAATGTTTTTGAGAATTTATCTTAAAGTTATTAGAACTTCTACACTGGTATGAATCAATCTACTGGCCAACGATACTACAACTCAAGTTATTCTAAACAAACAGCAATTTCATTCTTTGCATACCTTTAAAGATTATCAATTTTATTTGATGAGTGGTTTAAATCATAATTCAAAACTAAATAATTCTATATGTTTGTTGTCTATCTCACATGCATTTTTAAACGAAAACAGTTTATGTAATCATTGACCTATAACCCTTAATACATTTAACACAACTAGAGACGAGGGGGGAAAGAATCCAAGCTATTTTTCAAAACTTAAGTATCCTTCATGTCTTAATATCAGTCCCAAATTTAACACCGAATGCTTAAAAGTCTTCTCTTTAAGGAAGGTTGTGCCTTGCTGTGTGGTCATAACACTGGTGAACCATGACCGCTATTAGGCTATCTCCATGTCTTGTACCTATATTTTAACTTTCTACATATGAATCTGACTGATTGTGCAAGGAGTAGAGGTTAAAAATACACTGCCTCTGAATGACACGGTTATTATTTCCAGCAATACAACTCAACTCTTCTTTACCTCCAGGCATGATGGGAGAATTTCAAAACGAATGAATTTTCGTGTTAAGAATTAAAAGAAACAAAAATGAAATTCGTTACCGTCACATATCCTTGTAACAAAGCTTAAAATGTACTAGAGTATTTTAGAAGTGTAGTTTTCATTGATATCACAATTGTAAATAATAATAATAATAAGACAAGGAAAGTTATAAGGCGAGAAAAGCAATCAGTACCAAATAAAAATCATAAACGGCTTGCATTTTTAAATTTGCAAGTGAGAAAAACATAAAATTTATGTTTTGAAACTTAATTAAATTTATAACTTGTTACAATTTTTACATATATTTGTGTTAAAAAAATAGTTCACGATAGAATTTTACATGTATGTCGAATCAATCAATTTGATATTTTGGACGATTTTCATAAGCACGTTAAACACTTAAATTTAAAAATGTTTACCACGATTTTTGAAAATAAATAGTACATAAAATTAAATGCACGAATATGAATTTAAAGTAAATCGAAATTCATTTTATAACTGCTAAAATTAGTTTTATTTTCTTGGCGACAATATTCTCTGTTATTTTTCTGTTTTCACGCTCAAACTTTCATCCTTAGATATAAATGAAGTGTCATTATTGTTGTTCCAGACATAAGAAAATCATCTATCATTAATCATCGAAAGATTCGATTCTTCTTTGTACAGAAAGATTCGTGATCAATTTAATTGGAAAAATAAAGCAAAAATAACTATTCTACGTTCCTCTTTTCTTCTTTTCTTTCTTTCCATAGCTTTAACTACCTAAAACATTAAGTTATTAAACTTAGAGGAACTATTGCTTTATTTCTTTTAAGTAAATGATTTAATAATTCTTTCTACCGCAAGTAAAAACTTTTTTTTTTTTTGTAATTGATGTTCAATAGAATGGGTCGAATAATTGTTCATAAGAATTTTTGCTCGATTGAAACACTCATGTTTCAAATAACACTAAACTATGCGAACTGTTTATTTCTTTCTTTGAAATTGTTATTTAGATTGGTGCAATCTATCGTCATGTAAGAATTAGCGCAAAAGGAGAACTTATCTTCACCTTTCGGGTTTATCCAACTAAACATTTTCACTAAAGTATAGCGGGAATTACGTTTTCTAATGACAATTACAAACCACTTGAAATGTATGATCATTTCTTTTTATAAACATCCACCAACTTTTGAGCTATACTATTTTTCAGAAAATGCGCAGAGCTATACTAATATACAAGCTTTACAGCGCATGAAATAAAAAAGCTTTCCACTCTGAATAACTTTTGGCCGAATGTTCAGATTTTCACGTACTAGAAATCGATTTCAATGGTTCGAGGTCCTAAGCTTAAATGTGCAAATTAATTTAAGATTGCGGTATTTTAAGTTACGAAATTAGATTAAAAACGCATTGTCTCTCATTAACAAAAAACTTTTTTTGACGAAATCAGATGTAGAAAAACATGGGCGGTTGCCACAACCAGGAAAATATAGGGTCAAAAATCTAGAAATCTCAAGTTTGGGCCCCTAATGCCAATCTAATTTCACTTATATATGTCACCACAGAGAAATCGCAGATTTAAATATTATTTATTATTATATAAAGCAATTCAACGCAAATTACGAAAAAATTTTTTAAACTTAAAATTAAGTAGATTTAATTAGCGTAAAAATTTGCACACCTTACAATAAAACTTTTTTTCAACCATTAGTAAATTAAACAAAAAAAAAATAATAAATTTTTTTTTGACTTATATTTAATCACAAATTATTTTTGATTTGATTAACTAATTTCGGAATTATGGCTAGGTATGACAAAAATACATGAAGGAGCTCAAACTTTTGATCACTCACCTGCTTAAATTATTGGATCTCTATTTTTCCAGACTGTGGCTACTTCCCATATTTTTAGAGTATGGAATTCAAATATATCAAAAAAAATATTTATTTAGCAGAAGTATTTTTGAGTTTGATATCGCTACTTAAAATATCGATTGTTTTAATTAATTAGCATATTTAAAGTTAAGCCATCGAACCACTAAGATAGAGTCTACGTACGTAGAAATTAGATCAATAGATTAGGAGTTACTCCGGTTGTTCGTGAGGGCTAGCGTTATAACATTAAAATTTTAAGTAGCCAAAAAATGTCTTAATAGGCTGTATATATATATTAAAAAGATGGATAACAAAATAATGTGACGATATATCTCGTCATCAGCTTACCCGATTATATCCATAAAAAGAAGTGCTTTCTAATATTGTATTTGTATAGCAG